TTGCTATGGCTCAAGAGTACCGGGCCGTGTCTCGTAAAGAAGGAAGCTAAGGAGCCTTAGGAAGCGTAGAGATCCGGGGCAATTCACAATCCCTTGCGTTATTGGTGGCCATACAATCAAGAGATCCCTTTGTGATCTAGGGGCTAGTGTTAATGTCATGCCTCTTGCTATTTGTAAAAAGTTGAAGTTGGGAGATCCACGATCGATCCGTACTATTTTGACAATGGCCTACCAATCAACTACAAGCCCTATTGGAATTCTTGAAGATGTCACAATCCTTGTTGACAAGTATTTTGTGCCTTGTGATTTCCTTGTAATAGCTGCTCAAGAGAATCCCAACACTCCAATCATTTTGGGGAGACCTTTCTTAGCCACAACGGGTGCAATAATTGATTCAAGAACGGGATCCATGATTTTTTATTTTGGGGAGGAGAAAGTTGAGTTTAATGGTCTTGATAAGCCAAAGTTGTATGAAGTGGAGAATTGTCTTATGGTTAATTGCAACTCCTGGGTGCATGTTGATCTCGGTTTTGTGATGACTCATGAGGTGCATATTAAGTGGAAGAATTTCTTAGGTGGAGAGGTGAACCTCGCAGATCAACCTGGATGAGCACTCCATAAGAGGTTACGTCGAGCTAACGACGTTAAACTTAACGCTTCATGGGAGGCACCCCATGTTATCCTTTATATTGCTTTCATTTATTGCTTTGTAGTTTTTCGTTTTATTTAGCATATTTTAGTTTGTGTGTTTTTATTGCTTTCTATCTTTCTCTTTTCTCTTGTCTTCCTTGTGTTTTTGGGTTTTTAAATCGAGGACGATGCAAAATTTTAAGTGTGGGGGAGGATCCAAAATTTGGGGTTATTTTCAAAATTTTTGCTTGGGGGATTTATGTTCTTGTTGTTAATAGGTTACTTGTCATAGCATGTAGTTACAATTTCTCTCTCTTGTGGGTTTGTGGTTTGTTTTGGTGGTACTTGTTGCAATTCAATTTGAGATTGATGATGTGAGGTGTAACACATGATTGATTTATTCTCTTGCCAATAGTCTTATTAACCACCCAATATTTGGATTAATTTTTGATCTTGTGTGTTATGCATTGCTAGTGAAGGATTATGTGAGATTCCGGTCATGGGTGTTTTGCTAGAACTTGCCTCATTACTCCTTAAGTGAAGTCTAGGTTTTCCATGTTTTGAACTGATTTAGGCCATTTTCGTTTAACCCATAGCCTTTAAGCCTGTCCTTACATATGTTTTTATCCCATGTGTCCCCTTTGAGCCTTTATTTGTTTAAATACGTGCTAAGCACTTATCCCTTATTGTGATTGTTTTTCCTTGTACTAACCCGCATCAAAACCTTTAGCCTTTAGCCAAATGTTTTTCCTTCCACCCTTGAGAGAATGGAGCTTTTGTATTTAAAATGTTTGTAGAAGAGTTTTTATGGAGCTTGTATCTAAAAAGCAATTTTTGTTACAAATGTTTAAGTGTTGGGTCTTGATTGTTTGTTTAAAGTTGGTTCACTTGATAGTTTTTTCAAAAGAAATTCAAAGAAAAAAAATCAAAAGAGAAATCAAGAAAAAGAGAAAAGAAAAGAAAAGAAAGAAGAAAGATTGAAAGTTTGAAGTTTGGACCCCCACTTTTTTAGAGAGTTGCTTTGTTCTTAAGTGATTTTTGCTCCTTTGGTTGTATTGTCTTATCTCTTCTTAAGCTTAGACAAGATGGATAATTGTGACATTCTTCCTTTTTGTTAATCGTCTTTACCACTTCTTTGTTAGCCATGCACCCGTAGCCCCATTACAAGCTTAATAGAGTCATATTTGATCTTAGCATGCATTCTTAGAGTTGAGCTAGTGGGAGTATGGAGGGCAATATATCAACTATATTGCTTACTATATTATTAATGGAATTAATATTATTATTATGGCCTGAAAACTATTGATAGATTAAAAATATAATCAACTTAAACAATAGTTGTAATTCTTAATGGTCAAAATAACAATTATAATCCTTAAATTCTTAATGGCTCATAAATAGACCCAAGATAATAATTATAGCACTTAATCACTCAAATTAGACCCATAAACTCAATGGTCCAAGTGAGTTATAACATGGATATAAAATGGTCTAGGTGAAATATATCCAAACTTAATATTATTACCAACAATGAATACCATTAACAAAATATGGTAATCAATAATAATTAAGACTTAGTGAACATGTTATGCATAATAATCAATATTATTACCATAATAAACATGTTATAAGTTAAAATAAAATAGCTATAATTATTATTAAAATATCACTCAATAATGGTGGGATCCAAACTTTAATGACCCAAGATAGGTCCCAAATAGCTTGTTCAAAATAAGTTTTAATGTCCCAAGTGAAATATAGGACTAAAATATGCCCAAAATTAAATGGGAACCCAAAACAAGTTACCTTAAATTAGTAGGTCATAATTTTCAAAATTGACCTAAGGATCCAAGGTTGAATGATATTTAATATTTAGACTATGAGTTAATAATATGCTAAATTCATCCTTAAAACATGCTTTTCTAAATGTATAATTATAACAATATATTTATAAAAATACTTAGCATGCTTGGATTTTGCATATTAATATATATTAACTCATACATATCCACCAGGACTATGTGGTCCAATGGTATCCGGGTTGGACTTCCATTTGGAAGATTATAAGTTCGAGCCTCAGTGGAGGCGTTATCGGTTCTTTGTGTTTCAGTAGGTTGAGAAAGTATATGAACAGATACTACAATGTAATAGAGCCAGTAACTTTCAAAAAAAACTCATACATATCCTAAATAAATTGTAATACTTAAGGCAATTTAATATGCACCTCAATATTAAATTACTTAATATTTGCTTAAAATTGAATAATAATTTAATTATGAAGCCAATGCCAAAATTAAGGAAAACTAGAGGCATCATCCAAAAACAAGCAATTACCATATTTTTACCATTTGTCAAAACAAATTACAATATTAATTAAGATAATATTAATATGGCAATTTGGAACTAAATAATTACCATGTATCCTAATTAATATGTAATATTACCTAAAGCAATTAAATATGGTAAAAATAATGAATTAAAGGTAAATTGCTATGTACCAGTACGCACTCCTTCGCCTTCTTCCTTGCGCCACCAGAAGATCAGTAGCATCGTCAACAGCGAAGCAGGGAAGAAGCAGGGAAGAATCCGTCACTTGAAAGGGTAGAGGAAGCTGGACGTCGCCGGGAGACCAGCCTCGTCGCCGGCGTTTCTCATCTTCGCAGCGCCATCTTCCGCCACCATCCTCACTGCGACGCCACCAGTTCCCGTCCGTCGTCGACAAGAGCCACAGTAGTAGCGACAACCCATCGCCGGCGTCGCTTGGAGGGGGAAAGGAACCAACGACGTCGCCGGGAAAGCCAGCATCGCCTCTGCCGTCTCTCCGGTGCAACGCTAGCTTTGTCGCCGTCGCCCTCTCATTGCAGCGCCCAAGCACCTCGTCATAACACCACCCACCGCCGTCGTCCACGTAAAGTTCAATATCGTTGCTCGTCAATACGGAGACCGTAGCCAGCGAAATAAATCCGACAATTCTTTCGGCAAATCAAATGGCAAGCTATAAGATTTTTCCTAATAATATATATTATATATTAGGGCCTTAATTAAGTAGTGCAAATTGACTAGGCTTATTAAGTGGTCTGGTTGAACTGAATAACTAGTAGTTATTCGTCAACCAAACTCTGTGCCTAATATAAACCTGGATTGATGGGATACAGGTTTATGGATTAGATAGAACATTCAGTTATGGTACTTAGACTCACTACAAGAAAAATGCACATAGACAACGGTTAATAACCGTTGTCGTAAGGGTATAATTTCTGTTGTTGAAGCCGGTGTTGTTGTAAGTCCCGCGCATAGACAACAGTTTTTTAACCGTTGTCTTTTCTAGAAACAACAACGGTTTTTTAACCGTTGTCTATTAAGTGTTGTTGAAACCGGTGTTGTTGTAAGTCACGCACATAGACAACGGTTAATAACCGTTGTCTTTTCTAGAAACGACAACGGTTTTTTAACCATTGTCTATTAAGTGTTGTTGAAACCGGTGTTGTTAAAAGTCACGCACATAGACAACGGTTATTAACCGTTGTCTTTTCTATAAACGACAACAGTTTTTTAACCGTTGTCTATTAAGTGTTGTTGAAACCGGTGTTGTTAAAAGTCACGCACATAGACAACGGTTATTAACCGTTGTCTTTTCTACCAACGACAACGGTTTTTTAACCGTTGTCTATTAAGTGTTGTTGAAACCGGTGTTGTTAAAAGTCACGCACATAGACAACGGTTATTAACCGTTGTCTTTTCTACCAACAACAACGATTTTTTAACCGTTGTCTATTAAGTGTTGTTGAAACCGGTGTTGTTAAAAGTCACTCACATAGACAACGGTTATTAACCGTTGTCTTTTCTACCAACGACAACGATTTTTTAACCGTTATCTATTAAGCGTTGTTGAAACCAGTGTTGTTAAAAGTCACGTACATAGACAACGGTTTTTAACTGTTGTCTTTTCTTTAAAAGACAACAGTTATAAACTATTGTCTATTGTGTGTTGTTGAAATCGCTTTTGTCACACCCATAAACTGTTGTCTTTTGTAGAAAAGTCAACGGTTTCTAACTGTTGTCTATTGTAAAATAGACAATGGTTTTTAACCGTTTTTCACCTGCTTAAATTATAATCATATAAAAAAAAATTTATCCATTCACCATATGTTGCAAAGTGTAGTTACATAATTGTGCACAAGCTAATAAGGTTCAAAATAACAAGTCAAAAGACTTCCATGACCAATTCTAATTATCATCCAAGTCATAATACTACTACACAAAAAAACAATTCCACGAACCAATTCAAGTCCAAATGATCACAACGTTCTAATGTCCAAATCATACCTACTCTATATGACTTGATAGAATATCGGCCCATTCAGAACGCACCAGATGAATAACCGCTTTGTCATAATCAACTTGTTGAAACTACATGTAAAAAGTAAGAAAATAAATTAGTATAGATATAAATAATTTGCAATGAAATGCAAAATAAGTTAGGAATAATTCAGAAAGCTCTCCAATCTGGAAGGTTATAGTACAGAAAAGCTAGACAGGAAACACTAAAATGGCAACTTGCTAGACAGGAAACACTAAAATGGCATACTAGAGTCTGTTCAAGTAGAGTAAAATCAATGCATTGGCAATACTTTCCTAATATGAATACAAATGCTCCCAATTGGCAACTACCATGTGGGATGGATGGCATTTATCAATCTACCAATCATGCTTTGCCTACTTTCTAGTTTTCTCTTCCTCAAGGCCCAAGCAAAACAAAACACATTGCATCCTCTATATAATGCCACTGCAACCAAGAATATCAATACCAAACCACAAGCACACTTTAATTTGTATATAAGGATTTTGGCAGGGAGGATTTTGGCACTTAACACCAAACCACAAAGATTAAGCACACTTTAATTTGTATATATAGGAACACATGAATAGAAAGGCATTTATATATAGCTACTTAATTTACAACAGAACCTCCTCTTATTGTTTCCTAGTAAACAATACGAATCTAGAGGTAGTTTCATATATAGAGGTATACATAGAGGTATATATATTTTATTATTAAATATTATCTAAGACACCTGCTCCATTGTAGGTGTCTCGAAAAGTCTTTTATTTTATTAAAAAAATAATATATATATATATATATATATATATATATATATATATATATATATATATATATATATATATATATATATATATATATATGCAAGAAGCTAAAATTCATTAATCAAAGAGTATAAATGACAGAAGGTGGTTTACCTCAGCTTCCTTGTAGAACTTTTAAATGTTTTCTGCATACCCCACAACTGCCAACTCATTGTACACATCTCCGGCATCAATATCTTCAATCTTTTCCTTCGGTAATTTAATGTTCAGTCCACAAGCAGCCTATGCAAAAACATACTCTTCCACAGAGTCAAAGCTACTAGGAACACATTGTAGCTCTGTTTTATCTGTGAAATGCAAAAGAATATAATAAGTGCTAATCCACACATAAGAGGCAAAATAGAGATATAATGTGAAATATCAATCTAGATTTCTAGAGTATAAGTCACAGACATATACAGAAAGAAGTGAACATTGAGAATGAGAGAACTTGTTGATGCTTATAAAGGTGCTATCATCAAAGCAACTTCATGGCAACCACATCCTCTACTCCATAGAGCTTTGGATTGCAGCTACTACCAGGAAATTTTATTTCAACAGCTCAAACCAGCTGCAATTCAGCAGATCAGACCTGCACAGTTGCCTTCCAAGGGCTTTATCATCTCAGTTTCCACCCTCTTTATACCTCCAACACCCCTCCAAAATATCTCTCTTCCAACCATAAAACCCCAGACAGGCCAAAGAGTCCACCAAACTTTAGTGGACCTCCTTATTCCTCCATTGGAGCCAATCCTAGATCAGCTTCCCTCAATTAACTCAGATTTCATCTCTGCTCACCACTTCACCAGTTCTGTTCAGACCTCAGCTCCATGGGGCTTTATTTCCATATCTCAGGCATCATTTCCAACAAAAGATCAACCCAAAGTCAGTAGCAGACCTCCACTCAAGGCAAAATTACTTTGTTATTTTTCTTTCATTTACTTTGTTATTTTACTTTCATCTGTTGGTGGGGGACAGTTAGCTTGGAGCCAGTAAAGTGATCTAAGGCAATGCACGCAGCAAGGTTCGTTGCTTCACAAACATACATATACTCTCAGTATACAATAAACTAAAAAGAGGTGAAGTATTATAAGCTTTCAAAATTTGGAGACAAAATTATGGATTTTTAAAGCAAAGGCAAAGTAATTTTTAAATACATTATGAACTACACAGATTTAGACATAGTATGATAGTAATGCAATTGTGATTGGCTTACATATTTTTTGATATGGGGTTATAGAGTAGTAAGCCATGAAGCCCAATAGCATACTACAATTCAGCATACTACAGCTTATCTTCATTCATCAAGCTAGAATTCTGGAAGTGAGCAATAAGGGCAGCTTTTCCCTGGATGCGAACATATGCAAGTGATGCCACCTTTTCACTGTTGAACTTTTCCCATTTCTTGCCATTAAAAGCCTGTCAGATCAACTCTCTATTAAACATAGACATAGCAACATGATACATAGAGAAATACTAATACAGTATCAATTATTTACTGAGGGAAAGAGGGAAGCTTACATGATAAAATGGAACAATGAATGAAGGATCAGTCATATTGATAAATGCATAATCGACATTGCATTTGTTCTGAAAAATTAATTAATTAAAATTAAAAACCCAAATATAAAGTCATGTACCTGCAGCAACAGTAAAGATGCAATATCCATAGTACAAGATCGAACATCTGCCATAGCAAATAGGTAAAGTGAGAAGTCTACCATAAAAAAATCTGGGGCAAAAAAAGACACTGTTTATATCTGCCCAATTTTTGTTTCTTATACACAAAAGACATCTAAGGAATTAATTAGTGTGTGAACCCAAATAAAGCTTGTTTAATCCAAGATCTCCATAGTTTATGGTTAAGATAATACTTCACTAAACAGAAATATTAAGTATTTATTAATGGTTTAGGCCAAACTGTTTCTCTAAAAAATTGTTCTGAACAAATATAGATGTCAAAGTACTCCTTGTTCTCAAACAGTTGTGTTTTAATTTCTCATTACAAATGAACTTTGTGTTCTCTATAAATGAAATGTAAATGCCAATTTCCTGTGTTTGCTCTGTTCTTTGATGTTGATAATGCAATCACAAATTGGAATGATTCTCACATAAAACCTATAGCAATGAAGTCATGAGACGGATCTTGACGAATTTTAAAAATATATATATGGGAAATTTACCTAAAAGCTGTGAGACATAAAGTCTCACATTGAACAACACCATTTCTCAATAACACATACCAGGCAGAAAAATCGCATTGCTAAAATTAACCCCAAAAATACAAGGAAAATGCAAAAATCGCATAACTGAAGCTGGAATAATCAAATTCAGCGTTAAAGTACCAAAATCGATAGGATTGATCTAGAATTCGGATAAGCTGATGTGTCTATAAATCTTTCTGCTACTTCGTGGTTGGTGGCGTCTCTGTCTCCGTCTCCGTCTCAGAGCGTCTCCGTGCCGGTGCCTGAATCATATGCGGCTGACAGCAACGACGGATGATGGCGATGGAGGTGCAGTGGTGATCGATGAAAACAAGGGTTTGGATTTAGGTTTGGGGGAAAATTGTAAAATATTCTAAGTGTACAGGGTTTAGGTTTGGAGGGAATTTGTAAAATATTTAAGTGTATGAAAAAAAAATTGGAGGGATTTTTTTAATTTTTAAAATTTTAATTTTTATAATTGAAGTTATAAGATCAATTCTAATAATAAAATGATGTTATATAATAAATTATATTTCAGTTTTATTTAATCAATGTAGTATATCATATAAAATTAAAAAATAAAATTATATATATATATATATATATATATATATATATATATATATATATATATATATATATATATATATATATATATATAGTTGAGTTCAAATGAGGACAACAATATATAGAGGATTGTGCGGGATAAATAACGGGCACACAACAAATTAATATTAGGCACACAATTTAATACTCTATTAATTAACAAATGTATGCACACGACATACAAACTGCGGCACACGACTACATTCAGCCATGCACAAGACATACAGTCTAATGGCACACACTACATCTGTCCTCACAGTCCTCTATAATGTACTTGTCCTCATTTGAATGCAAGTATGTATGTATATATATATATATATATATATATATATATATATATATATATATATATATATATATATATATATATATATATATATATATCATTTGAGTTTTAAATGACCGTCAATGGTCTTCCATGTTCTAAAAAATAACTATCAGCGATCCTTTTAAAATGTCTCGTGGTCATTTTAAACTTGGGTTTTTTTTTTAAAGAATTAGGACCACGGGTGGTTATTTTTTAACTATTGTTGTTTATATATAAAATAAAAGTATATATATATATATATATATATATATATATATATATATATAGTTATAATAGCAAATTAAATAAGTATATTCATGGTTTTATAGAGATCGAGTCCACCATAAATTGGGTATATAGCGGGGAGGTTAGAAAATAGTAGCTTTATTATCCGGGCACTAGGCCCAAAATAGTACCGGATATATAGGTACAGAATGAGGGGTGCGCTAGGCCCAAAATAGTACCGGACATATAGTTATAGAATTGAACATGGGTACGAAATAGTAGCTTTATTACCCAGGGTGCTAGGTCTAAAATAGTACATATAAAACCTGAGGTATAACACCATACCGCACCATTCAAAACACCACACCGCACCGCCGGGGCCGTTCTAGGCCATGTCGGACCGGCGCGATCGCACAGGGCCCCAATTTTTTTTTAAAAAATATTATAGATATATTCTATTATTTTATTTTTATACTTGATAATTATTATTTGTTTTTTTTTTTGAATTCATAGATTGGTCTTAATTGTAAATGAAAATAAAACTTTAATGAATTGAAATTGAAATTTTGGTGAATAGTTTTATATTTAAATATGAATGAAAATAGAACTATTAAATTAACTTTTGAATTGTATTATTTCTTTGTTAAAGAGTCCGGAGGTCAAAGCTGCCAGCCCAAAATTATAGGTAAATGATAAGGTGTAACACTTTAATAAACAAGGGTTGGTGTGGTTTGGTGGGTTTAGCTTTGTTTGTTATGTTAGATGTCTTGGGTTCTATACTTTCTAGTGGCATCTTTAACTTATTTTATACAATCATTGTCTTGGTTCTCAGAGAGAACAAATAAGCAAATTGGTTATATCCTAGATGTTGTGCATAAGTACATAAGTGTTGGTGTGGCTTTGTGGGTTTAGCTTAGTTTTTTATGTTAGAGGTCTTAGGTTCTATTCTTCATATGGGCATCCTTAACCTATTTTATAAACTCAGTTATATACCAGATGTTGCATTTTTATAAATAAGAGGTTGTGTTGCTTAGTTGGTTAGACCTTATTTGCTATGTTTAAGGTCGTAAGTTCAACTCTTGTTGTTAACATCGTTGTTTATATTTTATACAACTGTTATCTTTTATAAAATAATGATGCGCAAAGTCAACAGTTATAAAAAACCGTTTTCTTTGTAGTGTTGTGTATTCAAATACGCTTAAAGACAACATACCAAAGACAACGGTTAAATAAAACCGTTGTCTTAAACAAATAAAGAACGCGCAACGATAACAGTTATATAAAACCGTTGTCGTTGTAGTTTTGTGTTTTAAAGACAACACATAAATGACAACGGTTAAACAAAATCGTTGTCTTTAAAAAAAAAAATAATGCGCAAAGACAACGGTTTTAAAAAATCGTTGTATTTGTAGTGTTGTGTATTCTAGTGCGCTTATAGACAACACACCAACGACAACGGTAAAAAAACCGTTGTCCTTTAAATAAAAAAGAGTATGCAAACACAACAGTTTTTAAAAACCGTTGTCTTTGTAGTGTTGTGTATTCGAGTGCGCTTAAAAACAACACACCAACGACAACGGTTAAATAAAACCGTTGTCTTTAAAAAAAAAAAGAACGCACAAAGACAACGGTTTTAAACAACCGTTGTCTTTCTAGTGTTGTGTATTCCAGTGCGCTTAAAGACAACACACCAACGACAACGGTTAAAAAACCGTTGTCTTTTAAAAAAAAAAATGCACATAGACAACGGTTTTAAAAAACCGTTGTCGTTGTGGTGTTGTCTTTTCACAAAATGCACAAAGACAACACACTTACAACAACGGTTAAGTAAAAACCGTTGTCTTTGACAAAAGTGTTGCATCAAAGACAACGGTTTTGGACCAAACTGTTGTCTTTTATACAAAAGACAACGCTTTTGTTAAAAACTGTTGTCTTTCTAGTGTTGTCTATGTGCATTTTTCTTGTAGTGACTGCTCAATAGACACCAATACACCATCTAGGTTTCCGAGTCTAGTCTGAGGCAAAACATGGCTAACGGTCTACCGTTAAGAGACAACACAACAGGAACATCAACTATGACTGGAGATCAACATGGCTACGCTTCCCCTCTTATACGAGGTCAGATCTCTCGTATACTATGGTTCATTGTAGTTAGACTATTTAGATATAACATTTGGTATCTGAGCCTTTATAATCTCTGCCTTGTTGATTGTATTGCCTAAATTGATACTCCATCTAAGGAATTGGTTTTCAGTAAGACTTAATCTCTAACCACCTTTCCTTGGAGTATATTTAGATTTTCCCATCACAATCTGGTATAATCTGTTTGTCAAAATTTTAAGTATTCCTTGCCAATGTGATTTTATTTCGGTTCGTTAAAGAATAACTAAAGCATCTTTAATTTACGGAAATATCTTGAGTTTTCAATCTTGGTTAATTAAGGAAATGCTACAGCATATTCAGATACCTAAGATTGTTAAGTTTCAATCACATAAAGTTTAGGCAATGAATTAATAATTGTCTAGTGATCTTATAATTTTAGGGAAAAGGGTCAAATAGACCCTTAAACTATAGATAAAAGAGCAATTAGGCCCTTCAACTTTAAAAATGTGTAATTAAGCCCTTCAACTTGTTATTTGAGTCAAATAAACACAATAGCAAGTTTTTCACATAGAATAACCGATCAAAATATTCCGGCAACATTTTCGACGATATTTCCGGCGACAACAAATTACAAAAAAAAAACTGCCGGAGAAGACAACCGTTGGTTGTCTTCTCCGGTGGAGAGGTCGGCCAGATCTGGTCGTCCTCTCCAGTCCTCTCCACTAGAGAAGACGACCAGATCTGGCCGCCTTCTCCACTGGAGAGGGCGACCGGACTGGCCGCCTTCTCCACTAGAGAGGGTGGCCACTTCTCCACTGGAGAGGGCGGCCAGATCTGGCCACCTTCTCGACTGGAGAGGGCGGCCAGATCTGGCTACCTTCTCCACTGGACGACCGGACTGGTCGTCCTCTCCAATGAAGAAGGCGACCTGATCTGGTCGCCTTCTCCACCGGAGAAGACAACCGCACGGTTGTCTTCTCCGGCAGTTTTTTTTTTTTTTTTTTTTTTTTTTTTTTTTTTTTTTTTAATTTGTTGCCGCCGAAAATATCGTTAGAAATGTCGCCGGAATATTTTGACCGGTTATTCCAGGTGAAAAATTTGCTATTGGGTTTATTTGACTCAAAATAACAAGTTGAAGGGCTTAATTGC